TATATATATATATATATATACACACACACACACATATATATAATTAATGGATAATTATGATTATTTATAAGTTTCTTCTATGGCATAAGACTATCAAAGCCTTGCTTTTAGTTAAGTTTCAGTTATTGATATTGAGAATACTGATGTTGTGCTAATGAAGCACTATTATGGACTCCACATGAACCTGTCGTATAAGGTCTGCTTGAAGTTTGAGCAGAAAAACATCACACCTTTTCCCACCATCCCCTTCTAGCAGAGACACATCCAGTGCATTTCACTTCCACCTTCCGTCTGTCGGATGCTTTCACGGCAGCTCTTTTAACAAGGCTGCAAAAAGGCTGGAGTCAGGCAGACTGTCAGCTTCGATTTCGGAGATTTAGCAAACAGCATGAAGCGTCTGCTGTGACTCTCAGCGCTGACTGAAGCTCAGACGAGCCTCAACATGAGCATTCAGCTGCACGAGAAATCATGACAATCTTCAGGAATTTTCACTGTCAACTGTCATTAAAAAGTAATTTAGTGACGTGACATGTGGCAAAGTATGGTGACCCATACTTGGAATTAGTGCTCTGCATTTAACCCATCCAAAGTGCACACACACAGCAGTGAACACACAATTATGCAAAATGTGCATAATTATGAAAGCATGAGCAAACTGCTGTTTTCAAAAATATTATATAGACTATAGCATGCAAACTTCCAAAAATTATTTAATGTCAACTACCCAATTATTACTCACGAAAAAAAATAAAAATAGTATTTGCGCTGAAAAATTACTAATATATATATATATATATATATAAACATCTTTAAAGAATAAACAAATTGCATTCAATATTAAGAAAATGTATAATAATAATAATATATCAATGGGTTAGTGTGATATATAAAAAAGTATATATATGTATTAATTATATATTATAATATACAATACAATATCAATATTTTTCACAGTACATTAAACATCCTTAAAAACAATATCAATTTACTGGAGAAGAAAAATTCATAACATATTTAGAAATTAATTTCAGAAAGAAATTAATATTAATAATAACAATAACAACAACAGTTAAAGGGGTTATAGTGTGATATATAAAAAAATAAAACACATAAATTAAGTATAAATTATTATATATAATAACA